TAGACAGAGAGACCTGCCTCCTCAGAAAAAAAAAATGGCAGAAAGAGAGAGCCGGGGTGGGTGGAACTTGTCTCTTAAAGGAACCTTTGCACTGTGTAGAGCCAGGGTACTACTTGCCATGTGCAAAGGGATCATGCAGTATGCCAGGTCCCCAAGGAGAGGGGCCAGCATGTGCCTGGATGATAACAGAGCTCCCTTCACATACTTCACTCGACACTGTCCTTTAAGGAATTTCCAAAAACATGTGCATCGGCCTTGGAGACAAAGACAATGAAAAAAAAAATTCCCTGTTTTTTTTTTTTTTTCTCACTAATTATTTTTCTAAACCTTCTGCTTAGAGCACTAATAAAATGGAGTTCACTATTTTTCTTAAGAATGTCCGAGGGCCTTACCCTGCCTGGGGAGTGGAGGGGGGATGGCTAGGGGCAGGTGGGATGTTGGGGGGGGGGGGAAGGGGGAGGGGGAAGGGATTGACATCTGAAGCAAGCTTGTTCCTAATTTGAACCAATAAAATAAAATAAAAGAATGTCCAACCTTTCTAAGTTTTCTGGTTCTTTCTTACTGTCTTACGTGTTTCACACTTGGGAAGGAGAGACAGGCAGATTTGTTGTAGAATATTATTTGAAGGTGTGTTACATTTGTTTATGCTCTGGAATATTTGTTTACTGATGCAAGGATGTGTTTCATTACATAAAATTCACCTGGCCTGCAGTTAGAAGGTTGAGCCAACAATTAGGTGACAAGAAGTTACAGGGAGGAGCCAGCAGGATAAGTTTTTAAGGAGGGGCAAATTGAAGCAGGAGCCCTTCTGGAGATTGTGAGGAGAGGAGGACCGCTACTTGCTATTCAGCCTCTCTGTGGAGCAGAATTCCACCTCAACCTTTGAATCTTGAGTTCTTTAGAGGGGCAGATTTAGATAAGTTCCCTACCTAGCTTTGAAAGAGTTAGTGAATTCCCTCAGGCTTTAGCTCTTGTGGCCTAATCACTTGCTGCTGATAACAGTTGCTGATTTGGAGAAGCTTGGCTTAAAAGGCAGCAACAATTAAAAGGACAACACAGATCTCTGTGAGTCCAAGGCCAGTCTGACCTGCATGGTGAGTTTTCAGGACAGCCAAAGCTACATAGAAAGAATCTGTCTGCTGCCCCCGACAGAAAAGAATATATTAATGTGAAAATTTAATGAAATTCTAAGTAACAAAATTAAAAGGTTCAGATGTTACAGAACAAATCCAAAATATTTCACATGGGTTCATATTTGCAATCAGATCTTATTCTCCACTTGTGGGGCTATTTTAACAGAGGCTGGAATATTTAGGAGGTGGGACTGAGTGGTAGAAGCCAGTGGCAGAGGTTAGCTGCAGGTTAGGTTGTTCCTGGTTCTGGCATCAACCTGCCATGAGAGAAGTCTCTGGCACACAATCTGCTGCCAAGAACTAAACTGCCCCACCATGCCTCCCCTACCGTGATGGTATATGATCTCCAAGCCAAGTTGTTTCTGTGGGGTATTTTGATCAAAGCAACAAATGTAATTAATAGAAACTTTTTTTCCTAAGAAAAATTTAGGTTTCTTCTATGAAGATGCTATAGACAACTTAGAAAAAACCTGTATCTGTTACTGAGGGCCACTGGCATCCATCCACGAACTACCTTAGAGTGAAGACCAGTTAATTAGCAAACCTGGCCCTTGTACAGAGTCCAAAGTCAACTTTTAATTCCTCACTTTCAAATACTAATAAATAACAAGTAATCATTATATGTTTTAAAAAGTTTAGAAAATACAAGCCAAAATAAAGCAAAAAACCTGATCCTTTAAAAAAGATACAATTAAAAAAAAAAACTGTCAGAGTAATAACAAAGTAGGCCAGAAAGCTCTTAATATGGTTCTTGAAAAAGCAGTAACTGGTTTGAATGAACAAGGAACTGTATACAATACAGTTTGGAAAACTGAAATATTGCAAATAGCTGAATAAAAACAGAACTAACTCCCCCAAACTGGTAAAGGTAAACGAAATAAAAAGGTTACGGGAATTAATTTGGATGTCCTAGTTTCTGATTACTAACAATTCCAGAAAACAACTATAGTCATAATTTAAAAACATGTCACACTGTATGCAATCCAAAAGAATTCATTTTAAAATCCAGTAACTGCTGAGACAGCAAATGGAAACCAATGATAAATTCACACTGAAAATCACCTTGAAACCACAGCATGTAAAAATTAAAAGATCCTCAACCTCTTGAACAGCTTTGTTTGGTTTGATTTGGTTTGGTTTTTTTGAGACAGGGTTTCTCTGTGTAACAGTCATGGCTATCCTGGAACTCATTCTGTAGACCATGCTGGCCTCAAACTCAGAGATCTGCCTGCCTCTGCCTCCCAAGTGCTGGGATTAAAGGAGTGTTCAACCAACACCCAGCCAGATTTCTTTTAAAGGCAAAACACAATAAAAAATGGAGTCAGAATGCAATATACTTCAAAATAGCTAAAAAATGATCTCAGAAAAGCAACATCTTCTATCTTCTTAGATTCCAGCCACACCATTTCAAAATTATAAACTATAATATCAATAAAATATGAGTACAGACTAAAGAGATTTTTCTGTTAGGAAATAAACTAAGGATATACTCCAGCAAGCTGAGTGCATGTACTATCCAGGAAATAGTGGATACAGCTCCAGACTATGGCAAAATGAAGTCATATATAACAAAACGACAGACGCTATAGTCAGTAAACTGTTTATACAACAGTCTAACTGAGGTATAAAAATTGAATAAAAATCTGTTTCATATTTTTTCATTAAGCCTTTACATAATATGTGAGTTTTAAAAACTATGTATACACTTCATGACAATTTTTTAAGCAAAATTAAAAGGGGCAGCAAAATGTCTTAGGAGGTAAAGATGATCTGAATTCAACCCCTGGAACCATGGTGATAAGGACAGAGCCAACTCCTGAAAGTGACCCTCTGACCACCACACAGACATGGTCATACACCCACACCCTGCAGTCACACAGGCACATACATATTACTTATACAAACACAATAATAAGTATTTTTTAATTAAAGGAAAGATGTAAGAGACATTTATATGAAATCGGAGATGGCAGGTTTTAACTTATTTTGGAATTAGAAAACCCTAAAAGATATCCTAAAAATATTCTGCAATTTTAAAATCACAATTTTGTTTTCACTCCATAAACAACAAATCCATCAGGTCAATGTGAACTCCCTAACATTTGGAGACTATACAGACAGAAAAGAACACTCGGAGTTTCACAGCTTCACATACATCAAGTCTTCAAAGAAGACAATCCCTATGATAGTGGTCACCAGCTGTTAACTCACCCTCTTCCCTCAGTTATCATCTTTACTTCATTATTAGACATGGCCTGATCTTGTCAGCTGATATTTAATAATGTTTTATCATTGGGGAACACACCCTAAAACAATAACTAGCTCACAAAAGGCATTTAATGTATTTTAACTGTTTCCTGCCCTTTTCTACCACATTGTACCTTTGAGATGAAAGCTCATGACCAGAACATGTTCCTCCCAGACCAGCCAGCAGAGAAACACTATGTAAGAAAGCCTGTTAATTTATCTAAGGTGAAATCTCTGTGTCTGCACATTTCTACCATAGTCTCCTCATATGCTTAGGAAGAGCCCAAGCATCACAGATTCCAAAAGGATGCTCTCTGCCCTCTTTTTTTCCAGGCCCAGCAAACAAAAGCTTCTTGTCAATAAGTATACAACAGCCACAGAAGTCCAGAAAAGCCAGAACCAGGAAATATGAAACAACATACACTAGTAAGAATTGCTCCTCTCAGAGTCAACTGTTGGGAGCCTTGCTTTACTTTTTAGCTAGCCTTTACTGAGCACACAGATGAGTCTAAGATTTGGACACAAAGGCATACAACCCTGAGAAAGGTGACCCAGACAGCAGACTGAGAGAAGTCAGGCTGTTCTTTCTCAACCACGGTTTTAAATTTAGTTAAAATATCAAATGCAAAAAGATAGATTTAAAACCAAATAAAAGCTATCCACAGTTTAAAATTGGTGTTCCATTTCTTGTCTATCTGCTAACCCTAAATATTTACATAAAGAAGGTACTCTTGAATCACACTGAGACCTTCCATCAGAGTATCCTGTGATTTTGCTCAAGCCCTATTGCTACCATGGGTCTAGACTCTCTAAAGAAAACAAGTCCTGAAAGTCTCAAACACAAATCAAATTAATCCTGTTTGTCACTAAGCAGAAACTACATTAGTTACTGAATGCCCAATATGTTTCTGGTAACAGACTGTTCAATTAAACACTACAATTTCTAATCTTTCAGCAACCTTATAAAAGAAGTATTGTCCATGTTAATCTTTCCTTTAGTTTCTAACAAGAGTTCTCCATTCTTTCTCTTTTTGTCTTATGGTGCTGGAGATGAACTCAAAGAATGTAAGATTTATAGGCTGCGTTTCTGCCCAAAACTATACATATTAGAAATACAAATAACTTAAAAAAAAAAAACAATATGTTTTCAAGCTAAAAAGGAAGAGCGGGAATAACATACTCACCTGATGCAACAGACGTTTGAGTTTGAGTAACTGCGTTTTTACAGCTGTGCAGTCCTGGACCATGTGCCGGAGGGTCATCTCATCCAGTATCACTGTGTTGTCTGGCACATCTACAAACATCTTCTGAGCCTGGAAAAAGGGGGTCCCTCCATAGCTTTCAAAATGACCCAAAGGTGTTTCTCTATAAGGAGAGCCTCTGGAAGGGTGGGGAAGAAGGAAGGAAAAGATACACAATTTAAGAAGAAAGAAAGAAGAAAGAAAGGTATAGCATTATTGTAGCAATCTTTACAAACCAGCTCCACAATGCCTTTAGACTCATCTCAGTCACTGAATGTCCCCAGTGAAAAGTACAATCCCTTTAGCTGTTAGCAAAACTGTTATCTTCTATGATTGCCTAACCCCACCCCACATATATTGTGTATTTCACACATTGGCTAAACAAACCTTCCTAAAGAGCCAAAAGAAAAATATTCTTGACAAGGCTCTGTTAGAACTCACACCCCTCTTTCTGTACTGGTCTTCAGCTTCTGATGGCTTGACATCTTAAATTGCAAACCATTATAAATCCATAGCTAAGTAATGTAGCAACATTAGTTCCCAATGTAGACACACTTTTAGACTATCATTAAAGCTAATAAAGTTATTTCTTTGTTCTTTTCTTACACTTATATTATATTATACTTATACTTATATTAAAAATTAATCATCTTTACTAATAAAGGTTTAAACAAGGTTTTACCAGAGTCTGATGTACACCAGGTATTTCCTAATCACAAGCTTCAGTTTAAAGAAATCAAAGCCTAGTAGTAATGGAGAGGCTACCTTAAATGCCCTTCTCCGATAATGAGATTAATGACTACCTTATATGCCATCCTAGAGCCTTCATCCAGTAGCTCATGAAAGCAGAAGCAGACACCCACAGTTAAACACTGAGCTGAACTCTGGAATCCAGTTGCAGAGAGGGAGGAGTGATGAGCAAAGGGGTCAAGACCAAGTTGGAGAGACCCACAGAAACACCTGAACTGAACAAGGGGGAGTTCATGGACCCCAGACTGACAGCTGGGAAACCAGCATAGGACTGTTACAGACCCGCTCAACATGGAGGTCTGGGCAATCAATGAGGCCTCTGGTAGTGGGCCAGTATTTATCCCTAGGACACAAATGGATTTTGGGAGCCCACTCCACATAGAGGGATACTCTCTCAGCCGAGACACACAGAGGAGAGCCTAGGCCCTGCTCCAAATGATATGACAGACTTTGAAGATTCCCCCATGGAAGGCCTCATTCTCCCTAGGGAGCAGAAAGGGGATGGGATAAGGGACTGGTCGGGGGCAGGGGAGGAGGGGAGGAGAGGGAACTGAGACTGACATGTAAAAAAAAAATTTTCTTTAAAAAAAGAAAAAATTCAAAGCCTACTCTGAGCCATGGACAGAGTGCTTGCCCAGCATGCATAAGACCCTGGCTTGATTCTCGTAACCACATAAACTGGGCATGTTGGTACAGTCCTATAATCCCATCATCACTCAGGAGTATTAGGCCAGGGGATTAGGAGTCCAAAGTTATCCTCCTTAGCTACATTGCAAGTTTGAGGCCAGTCTGAATTACATGAGAACCTGTCTCAAAAAAAGTCTATCTTTAAAACTTTAAGCCAGATGTGGTGTGGACATTTATACTTGTAATCACAGCCTTGGGGCAAGAAGAATGGGAAAACAAGGCCTGCTTGAGCTACAAAGTAAAACCCATCTCAAAAACTAAAAATTAAAAAAAGGTGAATTTCTCTCCAGTTTCATCCCATAATATCCATGCAGAATAAGAAAAAAAACTAAGGATGATTTATTTCATGGGAATGTAAAATATAATGTATTAACCAGAATACATTAGCTTAAACGTTATTGCATCCACATTGCACATAATTCCAGATGGTTATTAAAGTATGACAAGTACATGAAATCTCAATATTAAACATAGTACACTTAGAAATGATTTCTCTCATATGATGACCATTGTCATATATTAGAAATGAAGTAAATTTGTCATATTAAATATGTAAGAATCAGTGTGTTGGATTTCGACCATCATAAAGAAAGAAATATGGTATCTACTTAAGCCTCTGTTTTTCAACAAATATTCCCAGAACTCTCAGATTTATTGTAGGACATTTTCACAAGATTGTTTTTCTCTGAAACCACTAATTCAAATTTCAGGACTCTCCTAAACCAAGTCAAAAATCTTCAAGAATTGTTAAACCACAAATAGCATCTTATTTGGTACCATAATTGCATATATTTTTTCAGCAATTTTGATTTTAAATATGACTCTTAAGATTTGAACATCAGTAAATTAGTATGGATTTACCCACCTATCACTACATTCTGGTGTAAAACATCTACTAGTGGAAAGCTAACAAGAATTAAGACAAAAATACAGAATAACCCAGTAAGAAGTAGATATGAAAATAGCACCACTTCTGAGGGAATAAGCAACTTGGGGATTTTCCTAGGGTAGCAAAATCTTAGGAAAGTAAAGTAGGAAGTTAGAGCTTGAAATAAAAGGCTAAGGCTTCATAGGGAAAAAAAGAAAGCGGTAATGGCTTAAAGTAAAAGGAGAATCTTCAAAATGGCTTTATAACACCCTTTGAATCCAGTTTCTTCTTCAACCTCTTTCCCCAAACCTATCTCCCTCACAGACACTTCTTAACAGCTAATTACCCACAACTCCCGAAGCACACTACAAAGTGTCCCTCATTTTTTCAATGGTTCTTGCTAATCCACTCATCCTGCCCTCCCTCCACTCATTCATCTCAACTCCTTGTCATCTTTAGCTAGCTGATACTTCCTTCTGGGAAAGCTTCCTAATCCCCTCAGGTAGGACACAGTACACTGTGTATGTTTTTCATGGCCAGCAACTGTGTACTAGAAATAGACTACATTGTTATTCCTATGACATGCATAGGGATTTATTACTATTACTGCCTGGTACTAAATGTATAAGGAGAATGGATTTTAACTACCAGATTGGATTTTTTGTTTGTTTTCTTATGCTTTCATCTCTGAGATTCTAAAATTCTATAGCTCTGACATGAAAAAAAAAAGCACTCTTTAAAAATTATTATTTAGGGCTGGAGAGATGGATTAGTGGATAATAACACTTTTTGTTCTTGCAGAGGACCTGGGTTCAATTCCCAGCACCTACATGTTCTCATAAAAATCCTTAACTCCAGTTCCAAAGGATCCAAAGCTGCCTTTTACCCTCTGCAGGCACAAGGTACAGGTATGCATATGATGCACATACACTCATGCTGGCAAATTATGGGTATGAGGGGTGCTGGGAGAACAGGAAAAAATGTATACAGAGAATTAACTAAAAGGATCCATTAAAAAGCCTTATAGAAACCAATTACTTTGTAAACATGTGGGTGGGAGTATGAATTTAAATGGAGGTATCTTGTGTGAGTAGGTGTAGTGGTTTGAAAGAAAATGGCTCCCAAAGGCAGTTGCTCTATTAGGAGGTATGTGATGGGGGAGGTCCTTCTGTGTATATGTTTGTCTGATTGGTTGATAGATAAAGTACTGTTGGCCAATAGGGAAGCAAGTTAGGAGTCGAGGAGGATTCTGGGAAATGTAGTAAAGAGAAGTCTTGTGATCCAGTGAGGAAGTGACATAGCAGGCAACTCAGAATATAAGCAGCAACAAGCAGGAAATCGCTCTCTTCCTCCTCCTTTCTTCTCTGTGGAGTCACCATGTGATCCCGGGAAGAGGACGTATGCCACCGGCATCCTCCATAAGATAAGTCTTTATAAATATATAGATTAATGGCTATGGTTGATACTTAATACAGAGCAAGCATATAAGAAATCCTAATCATTGGCCAGCAGCATTGTAACTAATGTAAGTCTCTGAGTCTTACTTGGGGACCTAATGTGGCAGCGGGTGGAACTCGGGAGGCTGGCAGAAAGATTTATCCTTACAGGTGTGGCCTTCTTGGAGTATGTATGGCCTTGTTGGAGGAAATGTGCCACTATAGTGGCCAGCTTTTAGGTCTCATATGTGCTCAAGCCATGCCCAGTGAGACAGACCACTTTCTTTGCCTGCAAGTCAAGACATAGGAATCTCAGCTCCACCTCCAGCACCATGTGTGCCTGATGCCACCATGTCACACCATGACGATAATGTACTAAACCTCTCAAGATGTAAGCACCATAAGAGTTGTGGTGGTCATGGTGTCTCTTCACAGCAATACAAACCCCAAGACAGCAAGCATTGTTTCCTTAAGAAGAAATGAGTTATTAAATGAAAATCTCAGTGACAAGTATGGGATACCTCCCTATGAGTCAGGGAGGCCCCAGAGGTTCCCAAAACAATACAGGCTATTAATTACCATTATTCTTCTTTCCACACTATAACTTGATGGAAAGATCCTATTGCTGAAGATAAACACAGTTTGGTTGGAGGACAAAAAAAAAAAAAAAAATCAAGCTGGAACTGACCTACGAACTTCTTCCCTGTTGTCTAGATATGCTTACTAGGGTATAACATAATCAGTGGAGTTACTCCATAGCAGGCCCTGCACGCTAAGATACTGACCTGTCAGGAACCATGTGCCCACTGGTGCAGTGTCTGACAGTTATGAGGTAGCTAACAGCCTTCTAATTGGAATCAAGGTCTGTTCCACAGGAGAGAATTCATGCCTGGTACAATAATCTGGTCAAAAGCCCATAATCTGTAGAGGTCATAGGGTGGGAACCTATTAGTATTGTTTTGCTAAATGGAGATGAAGTCAAATTATCCTCTAAATATCTGTGAACACGAATAAATTAATGCTGCTCTCACTCTTGGTCAGAGAAGCATCTTACTGTAGTGAGCAGCAGTCAGTGCAAAACTGGTCACAGTGCTGGAAGTGACTGTTGAGTGTTCATCCTTAAACAGGGAATATATATCAACCATACAAGGCTCATAAATATTGCAGACTAGAAGGATAGAAAGAATGTAAGAGCTGGAGGATGGAGAAGAATGCTGTGAAATGCTGTCTTGTGAACATGGCATGACCACAGCACTCATGAATGCACAGGAGCTATGGTTACCTGCACAAAATCAAACAAGTCAACATTCCAGTACAGACTGGGGAGGGGCTCATGAGGCTTCATGCCAGCTAAGGAGCTATTTGCAACTGATGGCTGTGGGGGAGGTAAAGTCATTT